CCCCAAAACCCCAAAACCCCGCCACTTAATAGTTGAGAAAGAAGTGTAATAGTTATTATTAAATAATATAAGGTAATAAGAGTATACTAGATGGAAGTTGCACTACAAGTTGTACAGGGCCTTAAGGAGGCAGACAATAACATAAGAAAGCAAGCTGAGGAGAAATTGAATCAATTGAGAGAACATGACTCATAAAATTTACTCAAGGGATTTATCGATCTAATTTGCATTGTTAATAATGAATAAGTACCAAACTAGGTAATGGCTGCCGTTCTATTGAAAAAGCTTTACTTAGATAAGAGAACAGAAGAAGCTAGCTTCTGGTAATTGAGTGGCCAAGATTTTGTCCAACTAAAAGATTAGATCCTTACCAACATCGATTTCTAATAACCAATGCTTCTGCTTAAGAAAAAGGCAGATATTATCTGTGCATGCTACAGAGAAATTAAGAACTACCCAGAGTTAATTTAATAGCTAGTGGCTGTCTTGTAATCATAAGACTAAGACAATTCATCTGTCAAGAAAGAATATGCTATGCACATCTTTGAAGTTCTAGCTGAGTATCATTTACCTTAAGAAGAAATTGTTTAAAATTCAAACTAATTCATGCAATTGTTCTTAGATTGCTTAAAAGATTCAAGCATCTCTGTCAAGGTTGCTGCTCTTAAGGCAATCACCTCATTTTTAGGTTCCATTGATGATGAATCTGCTGTCCTAAAGTATCAAGATTTAATGGATGGTATCTTGGATGTTGTTATCGAAGTTTTGAGATCAGATGAAGATAAGGGTAAGGCATCTCTTGAGAGCATGATTGAACTCACTCAAAGTCATGGTGAAATTTGGACTAAAGTAGCTGAAAAACTTCTTTTTGTCATTTCACAAATCATTTAAAATAAGAGCTTCGATGATAGCATTAGACAATCAGCTTTAGAAATTATCAGTACTTTGGCAGAAGATATCCCAACTCTACTTAGAAAACATCAAAATGAACTTAAGACTCATTTTTTCCCTGCACTTGCCCATATGTTAGCTGAATTACCACTTCAAGATGATCTTGAAGAATGGAATAAGGAGGTAGAGGAAGAACTTCAAGCTAGAAACGATCCAAGCTCTGTTGCAGCTGACAACCTTAACAGAATTGCTTCATTCTTAGGAGAAAAAACTCTCATCAATTGTACATCTCACATTATCAAGGAAGCTATCGAGCAGAAAGGATCATGGCAATTAAGATCAGCTGGATATATCTTCCTTGGAATGATATCTGATACTTGCTCTGAGGCATTCAGAAAAGGAATGGATGAAATCATGAAAATGTGTGCTGCAGGCTTAATTGATGAGCATCCAAGAGTCAGATATGAAGCTCTTACATGCTTAGGATTATTATTAACCGAATTAGCTCCAGATGCTTAAAAGAAATTCCATTCGGACCTGATAGTCATTCTAGTCAAATTAATGCAAGATGAGTAATTGATCAAATTAAGAAAATAAGCGACTTCAGCAATGGTAAACTTTGTAAGAGGCTTAATCAATGAGGAAGATGATGTTGAAGACAAATCTCATTTAGTAAATGCATAAGTTTTAGAACCTTATGCTGACGATCTTGTCAATACTATTAGCATGCTATTTGAGTAATCATTACAATCAAACTATCCACCACTTCAAGAGGAGGTCTTAGGATTATTGAGCTGTTTGGCTAATGTTCTTGAGACTAAATTTGCCCAATACTATGGTAGATTCATGCCAGGTCTAAAGCAAATTCTAGCTACAGTTCCATGGGAAACTCAATAACAATAAGAACTTAGAGCTCACTGTATTCAAACAATAGGATTTATTCTTAATTCAGTAAAAGATCAAACTGATATTTGCAGAAGTGATGCCCTTGAAGTTTCAACACTCCTTACAACTCTATTAAACTCTGATAAAATTAAGGATTCAGATCCTTAATCACTAGCAATCTAAAATACACTATCTTAAATTGGTGCTTGTTTAAAAAGCGAATTCAAATAATTCCTTCCTCAAATTATGCCTGCTCTTCTCAGAGATGCTGGGAGAGATATTGATCTTAAAATTCAAGACGCTGAGCTTCCAGATGCTTAAAAGGGACTATCAGAAAATGTTACATCTTTAAATATTAAGATCAAAGGCTTTGAAGGAGAGAGATAAATCACCATGAATACTAATGCTCTTGAGAATAAGATAAATGCCATTTAAATCATTAAAAATATTGCTTCAAACTTAGGTACCGGCTTCTTTGAATAGGTAGAGCCAGTAGCTCAGCTAATTTCATCTCAACTTATTAACTATACCTATTCAAGAGCAGTGAGAAAGATTGCTATCTAAACAATTGTGTTCTTGCTTAACTCTTGTTAAGATTCAAACCATATGAAAGCTCTTTGGCAGCACATCTATCCAGGATTCAAGGATTTCATTTTGCTTAAACTATCCAAGTTCGACTGTAAGTCTACCTTTTCCTTAATACATATTTTTATTTAGTCAGTGAACTAAGATTTTTAATGAGAGAATTATAAAAATGCATGAAGTAATTCTGGAATTTCGGAAAATAAAACGAAACTTTCTTATCTTTAGAATAAGTCGCCGAGCTAATTAAGCTCTTGAATGAAGTATTCAAGGCTGTAAAAGATGATAAACAGACTAGACTTGAGTAATTCAAGACTGCTAAAAAGAAGATGGACGAGGAGGATGTAGAATTCTTCCATGAAGATCTAAAGAAGGTAGACAAAATCTAAAACTGTAAGTTTTTTCATGCCTCTAATTATTATAATAGATGTTATGGAAATCAGTGGTGTCCTAATACATGTATACAAGGGCAGTATTAGCTAACTTGTTATTGAGAATCTTTTAAATCATTTCGCTGTCACCTTACAAAATCTAAAGGGATCTGCTGATTATGAAATTCTTAACTCTGTTTGTTTCTTCTGTGACATTCTTGAATATGGAGGAGATGATTTGTTCAATCTTGCTGCTGGTAAAGCTGCTGAGAAATTCATTGAAGTAATTAGAGCCTTCCCAGAGAATCGCGATTTAATTTAATCAGCCGGCTATGGACTTGGTGTTGTCGGAATGAGAACTCCTCAAGGGTAATTCGGACTTCTATCAGAAACATTCTAAACTCTTAAAGCTATTATTGATGAGGCAGACTCTAGATCAGATGAAGAGAAAGTAGATTCAACTGACAATTGCATTAGCGCTTATGGTAAACTTGTACTCTTCCAATTTGATAATAATCTTATTGGCTTGGCACAGCTTTAGGAATTCTTAAATCTCCTTCCACTTTACAGTGACTCTGATGAAGCTCAATCAATCCATAATTTGTTCTTCGATCAAATCTTGAAGAGCAATCCGGTCCTAAGTATTGCTGAGGTCGTAGATCAAGTAAAACTTACTGTTCAAAGAATCATTAACATTGCTCAATCAAAGCCAGATCTCGAGTTACTCGATGATGATGGCAAAGCTAAAGCTGAAAAAATTGTCAGTAGCCAATTCTGATTTAGAATTTGAGTTTAATTTATTGAATTAATTAGCATGAAATTTAAGTCTTAGAAAATAAATGTTAGAAATCTTAATTATTTTATGAAATTATTTAATTTGCGGGAGATGATTATCATTTAATTAAATTTAAGCTTAATAGAAAATGTCATAGAAAGATAAAGAAAAAGATACTATTAAGGCCTCTGATAAAAAACCTAGTCCTAGTTTAGTGAACAGATGCAAGAAACATCCAAAAGCCTTAGTTTCCTTCCAATGCTAAGATGATAATGAAGAGTTTTGTGATTAGTGTTTTAGTAATCACTCTGGCCATAAGATGATTAACTATAAATCAGAATGCCTCACTATCTAGCAGAAATGGACAATAATGAGAACCACAGCCACTCATTATCATAACAAATTTCAGAAAGACAAGGATAAGATTCCTTAAGATTAATTAGAAAAATTTACAGATAGATATTAGAAATTAGCTAAAAAACAAGAAAAAATCCTAGCATTGTCTAAATAAAACGACTATTAAGCAATGAAGGAGTTTGAGAATTAAGATAAAACATATAATGATAAGGTGGTTGAGTTTGGAAAATCACTCTACGCTTAATATTTAAGCGTAAAAAAGCCAAAGAAAGGAAAATCTGATAGAAAAAGAGAGTCAAAGGAAAAAGATAAATTGAGCTAGAGATCAGTTGTTATTATTGAAGATAGTGATGAATTTAAAGGCATTAAGACTTAACTAGAGTAGTTGTAGGAATTAGTAAAGGGCTAACAAGAATAAAAAGATGCATAAACCTTGAAATTAGTTGAGAAATAAAGTAAGTTGAGGGAAAAGGTTAAAACTTAATCTTCTGTAATTAAAGACCTCATATAATAAATTTCAGACTAAGGCGATAGACTTAGTACCTTAACTAAATAGATAAATAAGCAAGTTAAAAGACAACGTTTTTCTCATGATAGTGATAAGTTGGCAAACGGGAACGATGATGAAAGTCTAAGCAAAAGAATTATGAAGAATTATGAGTCAAAGTAAAAGAAAAAGAGAAGTAAAATTGAAAGTTTGAGTTCAGGCTCTGATCTTTCATATTCAAATGTGCCGGCTAAGAAAAAAAGACTATCTTCTTCAAAATCAGAGGAAGAATTAAGTGAAGGGGAAGTCAAAAGGAGAGAAGACTTAAGTGACTCTGATAAGTTAGTAGTTGTTGATTCTGAGTGATATTAAAAATCATGCATCCAAATAGAAATGAGAAACACATTCATAATTCACTCTTGGATTTCTATTTATTTATTAAATACTAATTAACTGATTCTTAATAAGAATTACCTTAGGGGTTTTGGGGTTTTGGGGTTTTGGGG